CTGTGGGTGAGCCTGGGCTGGGCGGAAACCGGGGAAATGGGTACCTTGGCGGGTAGGAGGCATGACCACAGCCCTGTCCTGCAGACCAGCTGGGTGTGCGATGGGACAGGAGGGGCAGCCCGCCGGGAGGGAGGGCTGGGTGGTGGGGGTGGTGACCACAGGCACCGCTCTGACGCCACGTGTTACAGCACAGACCAGGTGAAGGGTGTGCTGACTCTGCAGGGGGATGCCCTCAGCCAGGCGGTGAGTCCCCCAGCCCTGTCCCCTCCCATCCTGCCAGTGGGGAAGAGCATGGGGGCTCCCACGTTCTCTCTATACAAGCCCTGCGACTCTGAGCGGGACCCTTGATGTCTCTGGCCTCAGTTTTCTCCTTTGGAAAATGACAGCAGCCCTCACACCTCCCCCGGGATGGGTGTGTGGATTCAGGAGGACATGCAGGAGGGGGGATTCTTTGCACACGGCCTGGCCTGATGTCTGGACCAGTGAAACATGGGCATTGGCGGATTAGGCTGGCCACACATCACAGTTGAATCAGCCAACGCCTGAGCTCCAGTCTGCACCCAACCCTGTGCCAGGCACCAAGGCGTGGGGGGCGGCCCCCCTCCTGGGCTCCATCTGTTGGCCCCTGTAGACGCTAGATGCACCCGGTTCGCACAGAGCCTCACAGAGGCTGCCTGCTGTTTTCCCCTTCCCCTTTCTTCACCTCTTTCAATTTCACTTCTTCGTGGCTCCTCTTGGGCTTGTTTTCCTGTTTCCTGACCTCCCTGTTCACCCCCCAAACGGCCAAGGCATTGGGAGTCTCTCTGCCCTACACAGCAGCCAAGGCCTGAGCCACCACACACCCCATTTCTGCCCCACGCTTAAGGGCTCAGAGTGGCTATGGCAGGAGGCGCCCCCCGTGCCTGTTTCACCCCACTCTTGCCTGTCAGGACGTGAACTTGAAGATGCCCCGGAACAACCAGCTGCTGCACTTCGCCTTCCGGGAGGACAAGCAGTGGAAGCTGCAGCAGGTGACCCCGCCCCTCCTGGCTAGTGCTGAGCCACAAGGACAGGCGGCAGCAGGCGCACCACGGGGCCTCCCTGGCAAGGGCCTAGCCCTGGGGATCTGTGGCCACAGCAAGCCTGGGAGGGTGTTTCCTAGCAGCAAAGCTGGGGGCAGGTGTTTCCTGAAGCCCTGGCGCCTGCGCCACGTGGGGAGGTGGAGAACCTGGCCTGAGAGCCCAAGGGCCACATCGGGACTGTGGTGTCCCCACAGCAGCTGGCTTGATGAGATGGTTCAGAAGCCCTTTAAAAAGTCACTCCCTTGCCCAGAACCTCCAGGGACTTACCATGGCTCTGGGGATGAGGCCCATGCTCCCTGGCAGCTCCTGTACCACTTGCCCTGGCCTCCTCTCCTGCTCCCCTACCCTGACTGTCTCCATCTCAGGGCCCTTGCCCCTGCCATATCACCCTGTTTGCTTTCCTCCACAACTTGCACAGATGTCTTGGACAATACTGTTTGTCCATCCCTTAAAAGGAGGGGGCAGCCCACTCAGGCAGAGACCGGGCCTGCCCCAGGTGATGCCAGGCGCCCATCACCTGGCAGGGACCTGGCCCTCCGGGGCACAGAGATGACAGTGTGGAGAGTGGAATGACCTGGGGCAGGCAGGCAGGCAGCACCCACCCTCCCCTCCTGGCTGCACGGAAGCTGGCGTGACCCCTCTGGATGAACTCTGCTTCTAGATCCAGGATGCCAGAAACCATGTGAGCCAAGCCATTTACCTGCTGACCAGCCGGGACGAGAGTTACCAGTTCAAGACGGGTGCTGAGGTCCTCAAGGTGAGCTCCCCCCAGGCCTGACTCTCGGGCCTATAGAGTCCCACGTCCTGGATCCAGAATCACACCTGGGTTCCAATCCCAGGGCCTCCACTTGGAGCTGTGCAACCTCTAAGCACTTACCTGCCTACTCTGTGTCTCCATTTTCTACCTGTGGGGTCAGGGGCAAGCTGCAGTAACCGTTCGCCATGATAATTCAGGTCATGGAGCCCCCAGTAAGCACTCGGCACATACCGCTGCTGGCAGCAGCAGTGAAAGCCTTCACATTAACCGCATGGCACATGTGAAGAGCTGACTCAGGTGCCTGACCTCATGCTTGAGTTCTGCCCCTGACTCACTGTGTGTCCTCTGGTGGCTCACCTGCCCTCTCTGGACCTCTGTTTCCTCACAGGTAGAACCAGATAGACTAAGATCCCCTCGAGAACTGTAACCACCCTAGGGAGCTGCAGCCCCCATGCCCCCAGTCAGCTTTTTCGTGTTTCCTGGGAGCCACATCACCCTGGTACTCATGGCCACGGCTGGATGGCATGAAAGCTGGGGGCTCTGAGGAGTCTGCCAGGGCTCTGCTCCACGGCAAAGGGAAGGGATGGGCTCCAGGTGGTCCCACCACCCACAAGCTGTGACCTTGGCTTACCCTCCTGAAAACCTCAACCTAGCCATCCATCGCCTCCTCCAGGAAGCCCTCTCTGACTTTTTGCAGCCAACCTTTGTTGCCTGTACTCCTGTCGGCAAAGCCTGTGCCCCTGGGACTGACCTCCCAGGAGCTTCCATTCCCCATTGATCCAGCTCCCAGGACCCTTGTGCAGTGAATCAGCCCTGTCCTGACTGACATCAGTGCAGACGTCCTGCCTTCCCCCACACCCAGCTGGAGCCCAACTACCTGTCTTTAACAGGCCCCTGCTGCTGGGTCCTGGGAACCGTAGCCACTGGGCGGGAGTGGGAGCTACCATATCTGTTGTTCCCTGACGCATGGGGGCCCGGGTGGAAGCAGAGCCAACCCCGCCCCTCCCTGCAGCTGATGGATGCAGTGATGCTGCAGCTGACCAGAGCCCGAAACCGCCTCACCACCCCCGCCACCCTCACCCTCCCTGAGATCGCCGCCAGTGGCCTCACGGTCAGTGTCCCTGCCAGCCCCTGCCCCAGGAGAGGGGTCCCCACAGCGGGGCCCAGCTTGCCCTCAGGATGGACACCAAGGGGTGCCACCCCCCAAATTATAGTTAGAATTCTGTCTAGGCAATTTTCTGGGATGGGGTCCTTGGCTTCTGTCCTGTGCCCCCAAAATACGTTAACCCTGTTTTGGGTTAGTGGTTCCCAAACCTGACAGCACAGGAAGGTACTTGGGGCACCTGGGAAAAGTCTGGAAGCCCCCCGTTCATGGGAAGAGCATCTCTGGGATGGGGACTGGAGTCGCCTGCAGACTCCATGAATGACTGCACAGCCCTGCTCCATCCAGCCTGGGTTGGGAGCTTGGGAGGGTCTCATCCTACCTGCCTCCCGCAGCGGATGTTCGCCCCCGCCCTGCCCTCCGACCTGCTGGTCAATGTCTACATCAACCTCAATAAGCTCTGCCTCACGGTGTACCAGCTGCATGCCCTGCAGCCCAACTCCACCAAGGTGAGGAGGGACCCCTGCCCGGCCCGCTGCCCCCCATGCACACACCCTGCAGGGCCTGATGGGTCTGGTGCTGTTCTCCCTAGAACTTCCGCCCAGCCGGAGGCGCGGTGCTGCACAGCCCTGGGGCCATGTTGTAAGTAGGCAGGGGAGAGGGGTTCGGGCATGCCTACCCCATCCCTCTGCACCTGGAGGGCCGGGCCCCCCCTCAGGGACCCTCTCACCGCCCACAGCGAGTGGGGCTCTCAGCGCCTGGAGGTGAGCCACGTGCACAAGGTGGAGTGCGTGATCCCCTGGCTCAACGACGCCCTGGTCTACTTCACCGTCTCCTTGCAGCTCTGCCAGCAGCTTAAGGACAAGGTGGGGCCTGGGCCGAGCACCTTCATTAGGGGAAGGGCTTCTAAGGGTCCTTGCCACACCCTCAGAGTGCGCTAACCTTGGGGTCTGGTGTACCCTCACAGTGGGCAGGGGTTGTGAGGGCCCTGCCCCACCCTCAGAGTGCCCCAGTCTTGGGGTCTGTTGTACCCCCACAGTACTGCTAAGCAGCAGTGCCCTGTCCTGACATACCGTCCTTGGGTGACCTTGACATCTCCCCTGGGCCATCCCATCCCCTCCATCCAGCCACTCACCAGACCCCCTCTCCTTGCAGATCTCCGTGTTCTCCAGCTACTGGAGCTACAGACCCTTCTGATCACAGCACCCAGGAGCTTGTCTCCAGGAAGGCAGCCCGTCCCCTCATACCCGCCCCAGAGCACCAGCCAGCACCAATGCCAGGCTGCTATTTATCTCTCTGTCCTACCCCCGCCCCTGCCTAACACATTTGCACTGCTGGGAATGGACACTGGAAGCACCAGGAGGAAGGGAGGCTAGTCTGGTAGGGTAGTGGGGAGGTCCGGAAGGCGGGGCCGAGGGCGTCCCACATTCCCAACCCCGCCCTTCTGGTCACCATGGGAATCTTTGGACTCAGGACAGGGCCAGGCCCAGGGCTCTCCTTCCTCTCCCCTTCGCTGTCCCCTCCCCCTGGAGGGTGGGGGGTGGCACTAAGCTATGAGTCCCAGGGGACAGTCAGGAACGGCGCAGACAAAGCCACCCCAGGAGTGAGCGCAGTGCTGGTTACTGTGTTCCATAGCCCCGATCCAGGGCCCTCTAAGAAATAAAGATCATCAGATTCCGCCTGGAGCCGTGTCTGTCCGTCTGAGTGGGGACCCAGGCAGGCGGGGGGTCCCTGGTAGTCAGTGGCCATCAACTTAAGGAGCCAGCCATCTCCCCTATTCCCAGAGCCTGGCTTCCCCACTCCTTATGCCATGCAAGGGCTGGACACAGAACCCACCTTCGAGAGAGGACGGGTTCTCTCTCGTCCTCTCTGCCAAGAGGCCCGGGGGGGTGGTGACAAGACCTCCACCTGGGAGTTCGGGCCGCCCAGTCTGAGACCAGCTCCCCTCCCAGCTAGGTGACCCAGGATGATCTGGCACAGTGGTATTGACTGAAAGCTTAAGAGAGGCCAGGTGGGCACCTGAGTAGGGCAGCGAGTCCCATGTCACCCACCCAGATGGGGACTGGAAGACACTGCAGACTCAGGCTCTGGGCAGACAAGGCTTTGTTACTGCCACGGGGCAGGACACACAGGGTCAGGGTTCCAGGGCCAAGTTATCCACTCCCTTGGGTCTTTCCTGCACGAGAAGCACAGAGGGACCGAGCAGGTTCGCTCCTTGTTCCCTAGGGGGATGAGCACCCTTCCCACCACTCCCCCCCGCTCCCCCCTCCACCCCCAGTACAGTTCCATGCAGGTCCCGGTGGCCGGCAGGGCTCACCTTCCAGGGGCTCACCTTCCTGGGGCTTGCCCTGCGGCGCCCAGGGGAGCCACAGCAGCTGCAGCACCAGCAGTGGGCGATGACCAGCAGCAGCAGGAGCAGCACCGTACCTGGGGACAGGACAGCCATCCAGGTGTGACCCCAACCCAGGGCCCAGGGCAGGGGGCTGGGGGGACCCCGAGGCCGCAGCCACACTTACCCACGAAGATGAGGAAGATGATGAAGGCAGCAGTGTCCCATGTGGACTGGAAAAACTGGTGGCTCTTCAGTCTCCCCAGGACTTCCTGAACTGTGGTCTCCAGCTCCTCTGTGGACACAGCCATCTCGGCGTGCACAGTGCCGCCTGCCCTGGCCCCCCAGAGGCTGCATCAGAACCCTGGGCTCTGCTCAGCGGGGACCACATCCAGGCTTCCCACAGCCCAGCCTCTGCCAGAGCCTGGCCCAGCACCAGCTTCCCCGCCCCCTCCCACTCCACTTCTCCTTTGGCCCCAGGCCCAGCCTCTCTCCTTGCCTAGCCCTGTGGTCCCTACCCTGACCCCAACCTGGACAACTTTCTCCCCAGCCACTGTCTTTTCCCCTCTCTTTCCCCTGGCGGCCCAGCCCCCAGGCCCCCACCTACCTCCTAGAAGCCTCCAACTCCCTCAACCAGGCAGGTCTGGGGAGCACAGGCTGCTTCCTGCTTCCGGCTCCATACCACCTGAGGTCTTGGCAACCAGCCCCGCCCTCCCCAGGGCCAGCAGAGGCTGCCGAGCCCAGCGGAGAGGGCCCAGCCCCAGCAGAGGCTGCCGAGCCCAGCGGAGAGGGCCCACTGCTGGAGACCCAGGGAGGAAGATGCGGGCCTGTGGCTTCAGTCCTGGGACTTTTTACCTTTCCTCAATATCCCAGATTTCCAGCTGTGTGCTTGGCCACTGCTGACTTCGTGAATGAAAGAGGGAGAGAGACGGGAGGGAAGGTGTGTGGGAGGGAGGGGGAAGGGGGAGAAGACCTGCCTGCATCCCACGACCCTTGAGCAGCTAGGAGAGGTGTGCCTGCATCATACAGTTGTCCTTGGAATCCTGAAGGGTTGGTTCCAGGACCTCCGTGGGTGCCAAAATCCACAGATGCTAAAGTGTCCGATATAAAATGAGGCAGTATTTGCATATAACCTGTGCATATATTCTATACTTTAAATCATCTCTGGATTACTTATAATATGTAATATCATGGCCAGGCATGGTGGCTCACACCTGTAATCCCACCACTTTGGGAGGCCGAGGTGGGCGGATCATGAGGTCAGGAGATAGAGACCATCCTGGCTAACATGGTGAAACCCCGTCTCTACTAAAAAATACAAAAAAAATTAGCCAGGCGCGGTGGCGGGCACCTATAGTCCCAGCTACTCGGGAGGCTGAGGCAGGAGAATGGCGTGAACCCGGAAGGCAGAGCATGCAATGAGCCAAGACCGAGCCACTGCACTCCAGCCTGGGCGACAGAGCGAGACTCCATCTCAAAAAAAAAAAAAAAAGCCGGGCGCGGTGGCTCAAGCCTGTAATCCCAGCACTTTGGGAGGCCGAGACGGGCGGATCACGAGGTCAGGAGATCGAGACCATCCTGGCTAACCCGGTGAAACCCCGTCTCTACTAAAAAATACAAAAAACTAGCCAGGCGAGGTGGCGGGCGCCTGTAGTCCCAGCTATTCCGGAGGCTGAGGCAGGAGAATGGCGTGAACCCGGGAGGCGGAGCTTGCAGTGAGCTGAGATCCGGCCACTGTACTCCAGCCTGGGCGACAGAGCAAGACTGTCTCAAAAAAAATAAATCAGCTGGGTGTGGTAGCACACTCCTGTAATCCCAGCTATTCGGGAGGCTGAGGCAGGAGAATCGCTTATACCCAGGAGGCAGAGGCTGCAGTGAGCCAAGATAGCACCACCGTACTCTAGCCTGGACGACAGAGCAAGACTGTCTCAAAATATATATATATATATATATATATGTATATTTAATATAATGCGTACTAGGTAAATAATTGTTACATTGTATAGGAAATAACAAGCAAAAAAGTCTGTGCATGTCCAGTACAGCTGTGATTTATTTTCCAAATATTTTCTGTCTGTGGTTGGCTGAATCCACAGATGTGGAACCTGTGGATATGGAAGGCCAGCTGTACCAGGAGTCTTCACCGTCCTTATATTCTCTTTTTTTTTTTTTTTGAGGCGGAGTCTCGCTCTGTCGCCCAGGCTGGAGTGCAGTGGCGCGATCTCGGCTCACTGCAAGCTCCGCCTCCCGGGTTCCCGCCATTCTCCTGCCTCAGCCTCCCGAGTAGCTGGGACTACAGGCGCCGCCACCACGCCCGGCTAATTTTTTTGTATTTTTAGTGGAGACGGGGTTTCATTGTGTTAGCCAGGATGGTCTCGATCTCCTGACCTCGTGATCCGCCCGTCTCGGCCTCCCAAAGTGCTGGGATTACAGGCTTGAGCCACCGCGCCCGGCCATATTCTCTATCTTCATACTTGAAAATATCCGGTAATGTGAGGCTCTGCACCTAGCACTGTGCTATGTCACCTGGTTTATTTCTCATAGCAATCCTAACGTGGGTATTACTGCTTTTTCCATTTTACAGATGAGGAAACGAAAGCCTAGAGAAGTTAAGTCATTAGCCCTTCACACACCTAGTGGATTAATTTCCCGATGCTGCCGTAACATTACCACAAATTCAGTGGCTTCAAGCAACACAAATTTATCATCCTACGGTTCTGAAGGTCAGAGTCTAAAATGGGTTGGCCAGGTTGTGTTCATCCTGAAGGTTCTAGGGCAGAGTCCATCTTTTGCCTTGTCCAACTTCTAGAAGCTGGCGGCATTCCTGGGCCGGCGGTCTCCCATCCCTCCACCCTCTGCTTCCAGGCTCACGTCTCCTCCTCTGACTCTAATCCTCCTCCTCCCTCCCTCTTTTTTTTTTTTTTTTTTTTTTTTTTTGAGACGGAATCTCGCTTTGTTGCCCAGGCTGGAGTTCTGTGGCCGGATCTCAGCTCACTGCAAGCTCCGCCTCCCGGGTTTACACCATTCTCCTGCCTCAGCCTCCCGAGTAGCTGGGACTACAGGCGCCCACCACCTCGCCCAGCTAGTTTTTTTTGTATTTTTTAGTAGAGACGGGGTTTCACCAGGTTAGCCAGGATGGTCTCGATCTCCTGACCTCGTGATCCGCCCGTCTCGGCCTCCCAAAGTGCTGGGATTACAGGCTTGAGCCACCGCGCCCGGCCTTTTTTTTTTTTTTTTTTTTGAGATGGAGTTTTGCTCTTTTTCCCCAGGCAGGAGTGCAGTGGCATGATCTCGGCTCACTGCAACCTCCACCTCCCAGGTTCGAGCGATTCTCCTGCCTCAGCCTCCCGAGTAGCTGGGATTACAGGCGCCCACCACCATGCCCAGCTAACTTTTGTATTTTAGTAGAGACTGGGTTTCACCATGTTGGCCAGGCTGATCTCAAACTCCTGACCTCAGGTGATTCACCCGCGTCGGTCTCCCAAAGTGCTAGGATTACAGGCGTGAGCCACCATGCCTGGCCTTTTTTTTTTTTTTTTTTTTTTTTTGAGACAGAGTCTCGCTGTCACCCAGGCTGGCAGGCTGGAGTGCAATGGCATGATCTCGGCTTACTGCAACTTCTGCTTCCTGGGTTCAAGAGATTCTCCTGCCTCAGCCTCCTGAATCACTGGGATTACAAGCATGCACCATCACACCTGGCTAATTTTTGTGTTTTTGGTAGAGATGGGGTTTCACCATGTTGGTCAGGCTGGTCTCGACCTCCTGAGCTCTGGCAATCCACCCCCCTCAGCCTCCCAAAGTGCTGGGATTACAGACGTGAGCCACCACACCTGGCCGGTTGTTCGTATTGTGACTGTACTAAATGCCACTGAATTTGTTTTTTTGTCGTCGTCGTTTTGTTTTGTTTGTTTGTTTTGAGGCAGAGTTTCACTCTTACTGCCCAGGCTGGAGTGCAATGATGCAATCTCGGCTCACTGCAACCTCCGCCTTCCTGTTTCAAGTGATTCTCCTGCCTCAGCCTCCCGAACAGCTGGGATTACAGGCGCCCACCACCATGCCCAGCTAATTTTTGTATTTTTAGTAGAGACGGGTCTCACCATATTTCCCAGTCTGGCCTCAAACTCCTGACCTCAAGTGATGCGCCCACCTCTGCCTCCCAAAGTGCTGGGATTACAGGTGTGAGCCACCGCACCTGACATACTTCTATTTTTAAAGTGCAAGGGGGCCGGGCGGTGGCTCAAGCCTGTAATCCCAGCACTTGGAGGCCGAGGCGGGTGGATCACATCAGGAATCGAGACATCCGGCAACATGGTGAAACCCCGTCTCTATAAAAATACAAAAAAATACGGCTGTGGGGCGCCTGTGTCTCAGCTACTTGGAGGCTGAGCGGGAGAATGGCGTGACCCAGGGGGAGCTTGCAGTGAGCGAGATCACGCCTGCACTCCAGCCTGGAGACACAGCGAGACCCGTCTCAAAAAAAAAAAAAAAAAAAAAAAAAAAAAAAAAAAAAAAAAAAATAAAGTGCAAGGGAACAACTGTGGCCCCTGCTCCAGCTCTTGGCCTGGCTGGGTAGTCAGGAGGCCCACTGTCCCCTCCTCTCCCCTCTGGCTCTCAGTCTTCCTGTCTCTCTGGGTACCTTGTTTCTAATGTTTGTCGTTACTATTATGAAAGTCATATCTATCTCTTAAAGAAGATCTGGGAACCACCAAGTTGTTAAAAGACAAAAGTCAGGCCAGGCGCAGTGGCTCACACCTGTAATCCAAGCACTTTGGGAGGCCGAGGTGGGCAGATCACCAGAGGTTAAAAGTTCGAGACCATCCTAGCCAACGTGGCGAAACCCATCTCTACTAAAAATACAAAAATTAGCCAGGCGTGGTGGTGCATGCGTGTTATCCCAGCTACTCAGGAAGCTGAGGCAGGAGAATCACTTGAACCCTGGAGGCAGAGGTTCAGTGAGCTGAGATCTTGCCACTGCACTCTAGCATGGGTGACAGAGTGAGACTGCGTCTCAGAAAAAAAAGACAGAAGTCACAGAGCCCCACCCAGTCCCAGGCAGGACAGTAACAGGAGGAGGAGGCTGTGGCAGGGAGTGGTTCCAGTGAGTCAGACTCCTGGACCCAGGTTCGATTGCATGCCGTAAGACCCACCAGTGTGTGAGCTTGAGTAACATTCCCTGAGTCCTTCTGCCTCGGTTTTCTCTTCTGTAAAATGGGTGTGTTAATAGTATCCACCTCCTTCCGGTATTGTGAGGATGAAATGAACTGATCATCGATATCGGAGCCGTCGGGCTCACAGAAACATGCGCTGAATGGCCCTGTGCTATTATCGCCGTGTCCACGTGGGATTCCCTCCAGTCTTTTGTCCTCTTCCACCATAGTCACACTGCACAGACCGTTTTACCCCTGGCTTTTGCCAGTGAACACCGCCGGGAGCACCTTTCAGATGACAGCATGCTTTCTGCAAACTACTCCTTTGATGGCACTAACATGGTGCAATCCCTACTGGCACCCAGTGAGGCTCTTGCCCGCACCACCACGATTTTCAGAATGAGACCATCACTCCCATGGGAGGATTTTCCTGGAGAAAGTGTTTTCTCTGCACAGAAGCTTATTTCCTTAGGGGACGTCCCCACGAGTACGTCTACTGCTCAAACGCAGTCCACACATCACCATCACCAGAGCCTTTTGTTCATCCACTAACCACATCCTCATCTGCTTATGGGACGAGGCCCCCGTGCTGAATCCTTCAAGGACTGTGGAGTTGTGGCTTGCGAGAGTTCACCTTTGACAATGAACTGTGCTCCAGGACAGGCTCTGCTCCATCGTCTCTGCCACCCTGGGTCCTGCCTGGCTCACCCTTAACTTCTAAGCCTTTATTTATTTATTTACTCATTTATTTATTTATTGAGATAGGGTCTTACTCTGTCGCCCAGGCTGGAGTGCAGTGGCACCATCTCGGCTCAGTGCAACTTTCACCTCCTTGGTTCAAGCTATTTTCCTGCCTCAGCCTCCCAAGTAGCGGGGACTACAGGTACCTGCCAGCGTGCCCAGCTAATTTTTGTATTTTTAGTAGAGACGGGGTTTTGCCATGTTGGCCAGGCTGGTCTCAAACTTCTGACCTCAAGTGATCTGCCCACCTCGGCCTCCTGAAGTGCTGGGATTACAAGCGTGAGTCACCGCACCTGGCACCCTATTCTCTAAGCCTTTAATGTTAAGCCTCCGGGAAGGAGGGGGAGTTACCAGGAGGAAGAACTGGCTGAAGGCAGTGGACAGCAAAGGACAGAAGTCTGCCTGGGGTTCAGGAAAACTGAAACCACAGCCACCTTGCTTTTGTGAATACAGTTTTACTTGGACACAGCCACACCCATCTGTTTACCTATTGTCTGTGGCTACTTTCTCACTACAATGGGAAAGTTGAATAGTAGTTGCAACAGAGAACTTAGGACCAGCAAAGCCTAAAATAGGGACCACCTGGCCCTTTACAGAAAACACTTGCCAGGCTGAGTGTGGTGGCACTTTGGGAAGCTGAAGCAGGTGGATCCCTTCAGCCCAGGAGTTCCAGACCACCCTGGGCAACATAGGGAGACCTCATCTCTACAAAAAGTAAAAAATTTAGCCTGGCTTGGTCTACGTGTCTGAAGTCCCAGCTACTAGGGAGGCTGGGGCAGGAGAATCACTTGAACCCAGGAAGTCGAGGCTGCAGTGAGCCATCATTGAGCTTCTGCACTCCAACCTGGGTGACAAAGTGAGACCCTGTCCCAAAAAAGAAAAAGAAAGAGAGAGAGAGGAAGGAAGGAAGGAAGGAAAAAGAAAATGAAAGAAAAGAAAAGAGAAAATCTTTGTCAATACCAAGGACACAGGAGTGCCTAAGCCTTGTGAAGTCAGGTATCAGGGAACAGGTAAGAAAGAATTAACTGTGTGAGATGGACTTGGTATAAGAAACAGCTTATCAGGCTGGGCACGGTGGTTCACATCTGTAATCCCAGCATTTAGGGAAGCCGAGGTGAGAGGATCACTTGAACCCAGGAGTTTGAGACCAGCCTGGGCAACATAGTGAGACCCTGTCTCAAAAAATAAAAAAAAGGGCTGGGCACAGTGGCTCACGCCTGTAATCCCAGCACTTTGGGAGGCCGAGGAAGGCAGATCACGAGGTCAGGAGATTGAGACCATCCTGGCTAACACGGTGAAACCCCGTCTCTACTAAAAATACAAAATAATTACCCAGGCGTGGTGGCGGGCACCTGTAGACCCTGCTACTCGGGAGGCTGAGGCAGGAGAATGGCATGAACCTGGGAGACGGAGCTTGCAGGGAGCCAATATCGCACCACTGCACTCCAGCCTGGGCGACAGAGCAAGACACCATCTCAAAAAAAAAAAAAGGAAAAAAGAAAAATAAAGATCAGGCACGGTGGCCCCCGCCTATAATCCCAGCACTTTGGGGGGCCAAGGTTGGTGGATCACTTGAGGTCAGAAGCTTGTGACCAGCCTGACCAACATGGTGGAACCCCGTCTCCACTAAAAATACAAAATTAGCGGGGCGTGGTGGTCCACGCCCGTAATCCAGCTGCTTAGGTGGCTGAGGCAGGAAAATCACTTGAACCCAGGAGGTGGAGGTTACAGCGAGCCGAGATCGCACCACTGCACTCCACCAAGGGCAACAGAGCGAGGCTCTGTCTCAAAAACAAATAACAAAAAAAGAAACAGCTATCAGAGAGACAATAAGGGAGGGGTGAGGAACATGGTCTGGAAAGCACATGGCCCATTTAAAGAGGGCATCTCAAGTCAGGGTGATAATCTCTAAGATACACTGGAAATCTAGATGTTTCTGTAAACAAGAAAAAGGCAGTAGAGGGTGGGCACACAGACTCAGAGCTGTAAGTCCCAGCTCTGCCACCTCCTCACTTGACCCTCTCTTATCTGTCAACTGGGGGTAGTAACAGCGCTTACTTCACGGGGCTTTATTGTTAAGCAAGCTAACGTATTTGGGCTCCAAGAACAATGCCATGTGCAGAGTCAGGACTGAGTAAATATTTGCTAAAGCAATCTCTTAATGTTTTTGACGCTGGCAACTTAAAACACACGGCGCCAAGGATGGACACGGATGTCCCGCTAGCCAGCTGTGGGACCCGGGTTTGCTCGCCCCAACAGAGCGGTTGAGGGTGGGAGCTTGGAGGTGGAAGCCTAGCTGACGTGGGGGACTCAGGCCCCTGGTTCTACATGGGGATCGTTGTATCATTAGGCTGGGGTCATTTTGAGGATGAGAGGGATAACAGCTCCTGCTCCTGCTGCAGAGAAGCCCCCAGGTGGGGGTCACAGCAAGTGCGGATGGAGCTCAGATTCTTCAGTTAACTGTCACCCTCTCCCCTCCCCCATCACACACACCAGGCCCTGCCAGGACAAGGCAGCTCCTGGAAGCTCCACCAGGACCCACGTCCACCAGGTGCCACAGCAGGCTGCTTCTCTCTCTCTGCCCACTGTGGACTCTCTGCACCGCTCCGTCCCAGCCATCTTCCCTGCCTCGCCTTGGTCTCTCTCTCTGTGTCTCCGTCACCTTCATACCTGTGTACCTGTGCCATCTCTCTCGCTCCCTATCTCTATCAACTCTGCTGTGTGTCCCCCTGGGGAAAGTGGGGGTGCCTCCTCCTGAGCCCCCTGCCCAAGTTCCCTGCTGGGATGGCAGCCACTTCACCCCACACACACTCCCTGAAGCCCCTCCAGGACTCCAGCCTGGCTGCAGACACCCATCCTGGACTTTGCCTGGCCCTCCAGGTTCTGCTGGGGGAAGTGACCTGAGAGGCCCCTGCCTGGGCTCTAGGTGGGGACAGGGCAGACTCCTGGGCGGGGGAGCCTCTCTGGATGGGGGTTGAAGCACCCCGGAGAAACGGCTCCCCACAGGCACCCTCGCCACACCCCTGGGACTACGGGCACTTAGGGTACACCGGAGGCATGAAGTGTGGAGGGGGTTGGCCAACAGCCAAGCTCAAATTGGGGTTCACATATGAGAGGTCAGTGTGGGCTCCTCTGAGCACCAGTGACGCCCTTCTCCCCACCCACCTGGTGACAGGCATCTCGAACCCTCGGCCCCCATGGACCCCCTGAGGCGCTCCCCCTCTCCCTGCCTGTCCTCGCGGCCCTCCAGCCCCAGCACCCCACCCTGCGAGATGCTTGGTCCTGTGGGCATCGAGGCTGTGCTGGACCAGCTGAAGATTAAGGCTATGAAGATGGGGTTTGAGTTCAACATCATGGTGGTGGGTGAGTGAGAGGTGGGGCCCACGGCAGGACAGACCCACGGTGCTACACGTGCCTGGGCATGTGATCTCACTTTTGGCAGCCTGTCGCCCCTCCCCGTCTGCTAAGTGGACCTGGTAATAGCACCTCACAGGGATGTTGTCATTGAAAATCTGAGAAATGCTCAGTCATCAAAAGACAAAAATCTGCCTGGAGCGGTGGCTCCCACCTATAATCCAGGGTTTTGGGAGGCTGAGGCGGGTGGATCACCTGAGCTCAGGAGTTCGAGACTAGCAAAACCCCACGTCTACAAAAAGTACAAAAATGAGGTCGGGCGTGGTGGCTCAAGCCTGTAATCCCAGCACTTTGAAAGGCCAAGGCGGGAGGATCACCTGAGGTCAGGAGTTTGAGACCAGCCTGGCCAACATGGTGAAACCTCGTCTCTACTAAAAATACAAAAATTAGCGTGGTGGCAGGCGCCTGTACTTAGGAGCTACTTAGGAGGCTGAGGCAGGAGAATCACTTGAACCTGGGAGGCGGAGGTTGTAGTGAGCCGAGATTGCTCCACTGCACTCCAGCCTGGGTGACAGAGTGAGACCCTGTCTCCAAAAATAAAAAAGTAAAGAGTTAGAGAAAAACTGCTTAAAATGCCCACCCTAACTGCTGTCATCCGGTTGCCACTTCCAGGGCAGAGTGGACTGGGCAAGTCCACGATGGTGAACACGCTGTTCAAGTCCAAAGTGTGGAAGTCAAACCCACCGGGCTTGGGGGTGCCCCCACCCCAGACGCTGCAGCTGCATTCAGTGACCCATGGTGAGTGAGCCCCTGCCCACACCTCACCCCACCCTGCTGACACCTCACCCCACCCTGCCCCACCCCATCCCATCAGGGTCCAATGTCTCCTGACTCCCCTCTCCCTCCGCAGTCATCGAGGAGAAGGGTGTGAAGCTGAAGCTGACAGTGACGGACACGCCTGGCTTCGGGGACCAGATCAACAATGACAACTGGTGGGTTCTTTTTTTTTTTTTTTTTTAAGAGAGTTTCACTCTTGTCGCCCAGGCTGGAGTGCAAGGGCATGATCTTGGCTCACTGCAACCTCCGCCTCCTAGGTTCAGGTGATCCTCCGGCCTCAGCCTCCCGAACTAGCTGGGATTACAGGTGCCCGCCACCATGCCCAGCTAATTTTTTTTGTATTTTTAGTTGAGACGCGGTTTCACCATGTTGGCCAGGCTGGTCTGGAACTCCTGACTTCAGATGATCCACTCGTCTCAGCCCCCCAAAGTGCTGGGATTACAGGCGTGAGCCACACGACTGTCCCCTCCTGTCCCTGCCCCTCCCCCTTCGACCTTTTGGAAACACCCCAGACCTAGAACGGCCAGGCTGTGTGATCTTTTTTTTTTCTTTTTTCTTTTTTTTGAGACAGAATCTCGCTCTTGCCACCCAGGCCAGAGTGCATTGGCACAATCTCGGCTCACTGCAACCTCCGCCTCCTGGGTTCAAGCGATTTCCAGCTAAATTTTTTTTTTTTTTTTTTTTTGAGATGGAGTCTTGCTCTGTCACGCAGGCTGGGATGCAGTGGCCAGATCTCAGCTCACTGCAAGCTCCGCCTCCCAGATTTACGCCATTCTCCTGCCTCAGCCTCCCGAGTAGCTGGGACTACAGGTGCCCGCCACCTCGCCCGGCTAGTTTTCTTGTATTTTTTGGTAGAGACGGGGTTTCACCGTGTTAGCCAGGTTGGTCTCTATCTCCTGATCTTGTGATCCGTCCGTCTCGGCCTCCCAAAGTGCTGGGATTACAGGCTTGAGCCACCGCACCCAGCCTTTTTTTTTTTTTTTTTTGAGACGGAGTCTAGCTCTGTTGCCCAGGCTGGAGTGCAATGGCCGGATCTCAGCTCACTGCAAGCCCCGCCTCCCGGGTTCATGCCATTCTCCTGCCTCAGCTTCCCGAGTAGCTGGGAGTACAGGCGCCCGCCACCTCGCCCGGCTAATTTTTTTTGTATTTTAGTAGAGACGGGGTTACACCATGTTAGCCAGGATGGTCTCGATCTCCTGAACTCGTGATCCGCCCGTCTCGGCCTCCCAAAGTGCTGGGATTACAGGCTTGAGCCACCGCGCCCGGCCTTTTTTTTTTTTTTTTTTAAAGACAGAGTCTGGTTCTTGTTGCCCAGGCCAGAGTGCAGTGGCACAATTTCTGCTCACTGCAACCTCCACTTACTGGAGTTCTAGTGATTCTCCTGCCTCAGCCTCCCAAGTAACTGGGATTACAGGCATCCTCCAACATGCTTGGCTACTTTTTTGTATTTATTTAGTAGAGACGGGGTTTCACCGTGTTGGCCAGGCTGGTCTCAAACTTCTGACCCCAGGTGATCCGCCCACCTCGGCCTCCCAAAGTGCTGGAATTACAGGTGTAAGCCACCATGCCCGGCCCAATTTTTGTAATTTTAGTAGAGATGGGGATTTCCCCATGTTGACCAGGCTGGTCTTGAGCTCCTGACCTCAGGTGATTCACTTGCCTCAGCCTCCCAAAGCGCTGGGATTACACGCATGAGCCACCGCACCCGGCCCTGGTTTCATTTTTATTTATTTAGAGACAGTGTCTCACTCTGTTTCCCAGGCTGGAGTGCAGTGGTGAGATCATGGCTCACTGCAGCCTCGACCTCCCCGAGCTCAAGGACCCTCCTGCTTCAGCCTCCTGAGTAGCTGGGACCACAGGCACGTGCCACCCCACCCAGCTAATTTTTGTAGTTTTTGTAGAGTTGGCATTTCCCTATATTGCCCAGGCTAGCCTCGAATTCCTGGGCTCAAGCGATCCTCCTGCCTCTGCCTCCCAAAGTGCTGAGATTACAGGCATGAGCCATTGGGCCTGTCCTGACACCTGTTTTTAAAAGGATCTGAGACCGGGCGCGGTGGCTTATGCCTGTAATCCCAGCTCTTTGGGAGGCCGAGGCGGGTGGATCACAAGGTCAGGAGATTGAGACCATCCTGACTAACACGGTGAAACCCCATCTCTACTAAAAATATAAAAAATTAGCCAGGAGTGGTGGCACGTGCCTGTAGTCCCAGCTACTCGGGAGGCCGAGGCAGGAGAATAGCATGAATCCGGGAGGTGGAGCTTGCAGTGAGCCGAGATCTGGCCACTGCACTCCAGCCTGGGCGACAGAGCGAGACTCCATCTCAAAAAAAAAAAGGATCTGTTTGGCTACTTACAGTATTGACAATACCCAAGAGGGGAAGGGACTCGAGGAGGAGGGAGACCCCTGCAACCATCAGGCGCGAGTCCTTCGTGGTTTGGGCCCAGCTGTGGCCCTTTAGCCCAGTTAATGCTCACCCCTCCCTTACTTGCACCATAGGTGCTGCTGTTGTCTCCATTTTACAGACAGTGAAGCCGAGAATGGCAGGAGGTCTCTCTATGTCTCTCTGATGATGCAGGGAAGTGGGGGAAAGTAACAGGGTGACCCAGAGGTCCTGGGCAAACCGGGACGATTCATCATCCCACGGGAGGACCACCCAGAGGACACAGCGGAGAGGGGTGGGGCTCTCCGGGCACAGCACAGTTCTGAGGGGAGGGTCCACCTCCCGCCTCAGCTGGGACCCCATCCTGGGCTACATCAACGAGCAATACGAGCAGTACCTCCAGGAGGAGATCCTCATCACCCGCCAGCGCCATATCCCAGACACCCGGGTGCACTGCTGCGTGTACTTTGTACCACCCACTGGGCACTGGTGAGGGGGCTGCACCTGCAAGGCGAGGACCACCTGCATGGGGCAGGGAGGAGGAGAAGGGGTCCCCGACGTGGGCTGCTGGCTGCCCCCACCCCCCTGCCCTGCTGCTATCATTCATACACTCACCACCACCACCACTTCCATCACTGCCCTGCCCCGGCAGCCTGCGGCCCCTGGACATTGAGTTCCTGCAGCGACTGTGCCGGACTGTGAACGTGGTGCCCGTGATTGCCCGGGCCGACAGCCTGACCATGGAGGAGCGAGAGGCCTTTAGGCACAGGGTGATCTGGGTGCCTGGGGCAGGGCTGGGGTCAGCGGGGCAGAGGGCAGAGTGGGCAGGGTGGGCTGAGGTCACCTGTGCGGGATCTCCAGATCCAGCAGAACCTGAGGACCCACTGCATCGATGTCTACCCCCAGATGTGCTTTGATGAGGACATCAATGACAGAATCCTTAACAGCAAGTTACGGGTAAGAGGCTGTGGGGCGGGAGGCAGGCGAGGTGATTTCCTTCCCACACATCCTTTCCACCCAAAGATTCATCTTTCTCTGTATCTCAGGGAAACGTGCACATATTCCTAGCAGATATGACTGTCCACACATCCACAAGCTCAAAGTGAGCAAGAAATAACAGCTCACACTAACAACCCACAGAATCAGAGAAAATGTCTATGAATCACATACCCAACAAGGGGCTTGTATCCTGAATATATAAAGAACACTGGGCCGGGCACAGTGGCTCATGCCTGTCATCTCAGAACTTTGGGAGGCCAAGGCAGGCAGATCGCTGGAGGTCAGGAGTTGGAGACCAGCCTGGCCAACATGGTGAAACCCCATCTCTGCCAAAAATACAAAAAATTCTGTGAATGTGGTGGTGCACACCTTTAGTCCCAGCTACTCAGGAGGCTGAAGCAGGAGAATTGCTTGAACCTGGGAGGCAGAGGTTGCAGTGAGTGAGCCAAGATTGCGCCACTGCAGTCCAGCCTAGGTGACAGAGTGACTCAAACAAACAAACAAACAGACAACAACAACAACAACAAAAGTCTTACAGCTCAACAATAAAAGAGGCCCCGGTGTGGTGGCAATCCCAGCACTTTGGGAGGCCAAGGCAGGAGGATTCCTTGAGCCTAGGAGTTCGAGACCAGCTTGAGCAACATGGCAAAACCCCAACTCAACAAAAAAACACAAAAATTACCTTGGCATGGTGGCATGTGCCTGTAGTCCCAGCTACTCAGGAGCCTGAGGTGGGAGGATCACTTGAGCCCAGGAAGTGGAGGCTGCAGTGAGATGTGATCACACCACTGTGCTCCAGCCTGGGTGACACAGTGAGAACCAGGTTTTTAAAAAAAAAAAAAAAAAAGGCAATAAAATATAACTCAAGGTGGGTGTGGTGGCGCACACCTGTAATCCCAGCACTTTGGAAGGCCGAGGCTGTTGGATCACCTGAGGTTGGGAGTTTGAGACCAGCCTGACCAACATGCAGAAACCCTGTCTCTACTATAAATACAAAAACATTAGCCGGGCATAGTGGCAGGTGCCTGTAATCCCAGCTACTCAAGAGGCTGAGGCAGGAGAAAGGCTTCAATCCAGGAGGTGGAGGCTGCAGTGAGCTGACATGGCACCATTGCACTCCAACCTGGGCAAGAAGAGTGAAACTCTGTCTCAAAAAAAAAGCATTGGCCTGGCGTGGTGGCTCACACCTGTAATCCCTGCACTTTGGGAGGCTGAGGCGGGTAGATCACCTGAGGTCAGGAGTTTGAGACCAGCCTGGCCAACATAACGAAACCACATCTCTACTAAAAGTACAAAAAATTAGGCCCGGCGCGGTGGCTCACGCCTGTAATCCCAGCACTTTGGGAGGCCGAGGTAGGTGGATCACAAGCACAAGGTCAGGAGATCAAGACCATCCTGGCCAACACGGTGAAACCCCGTCTCTACTAAAAATACAAAAAATTAGCCGGGCGTGGTGGCGGGCGCCTGTAGTCCCAGCTACTCAGGAGGCTGAGGCAGGAGAATGGCCTGGGAGATGGAGCTTGCAGTGAGCTGAGATGGCGCCACTGCACTCCAGCCTGGGCGACAGAGAGAGAGTCCGTCTCAAAAAAAAAAAAAAAAAAAAAAAAAATTAGCCAGCGTGGTGGTGGGTTCCTGTAAGCCTAGCTACTCAGAAGGCTGAGGCAGGAGAATTCCTCCTGAGGCAGGAGGATTCCTTGAGCCTAGGAGTTCGAGACCAGCTTGGGCAACATGGCAAAACCCCATCTCAACAAAAAAACACAAAGCTGGAGGTGGAGGTTACGGTGAGCCGAGATCGTACCACTGCACACCCCAGCCTGGGCAACGAGAGCAAAACTCCGGCTTAAAACAACAACAACAACAAAAAATGGTGCTGTGGAAGATGTGGAGGAACTGAAAGTCTCACCTACTGCTGGAGGGACAGGAAAATGGCTCAGCCACTTTGGAAAACAGTCTGGTGGTTCCTCACATGCTTATACATCCAGTTACTATATGACCCAGCAACTGAACTCCTACATGTATACCCAGAACAAACAAAAATGTACACTCACAGAAAAATGTGTACATGAATGTTCACAGTAGCGTTACTTAGCCTAAAAGTGGAAGCAACCCAAATATGCATCAACAGATGAGTGGGGAAACGCGATGTGGCCTATCCCCTACCGTGGACTAGCCCTTATCTATGAAAAGGAATGAAGTTCACCCTTTAAAAGTGTACAGTTCAAGGCTCGGCACGGTGGCTCATGCCTGTAATAATCCTAGCACTTTGGGAGGCTGAGGCGGGCAGATCACTTGCGGCCAGGGGTTTGAGATCAGCCTGGCCAATAGGGTGAAACTCCATCTGTACTAAAAATGCAAAACTAGCCAGGTGTGTGGTGGCACACACCTGTAATCCCAGCTACTTGGGAGGCTGAGGCAGGAGAATTGCTTGAACCTGGGAGGTGAAGGTTGCACTGAGCAGAGATTGCGACACTGCACTCCAGCCTGGGCAAGGGAGTGAGACCCTGTCTCAAAAAAAAAAGAAAGAAAAAGAAATGAAGCACTGTCACCTGCCTGCTACAGGGTGGGGGAACTTTGTAAACATGTTTCTCAGACAAAAATAATTCAGATACAAAAGATCACGTATTATGGGATTCCATTTATACGAAATGTCCAGAATAGGCGTAGGCAAATCTATAGAGACAGAAAGTAGATTAGTGGTAGTCAGTGGATGTGGGGAAGGGAGAAATGGGGAGTGATTGCTAAAAGGTATGGGATTTTTTTGGGGGGGTGTGATGAAAAGGTTGTGAAATTAGATTGTGATGATGGTTGCATAACCCTGGTCAAATACTAAGAACCACTGTACTGTACAATGTTTTTTTAATTATTATTTTGAGATGTAGTCTTGCTCTGTCACCCAGGCTGGAGTACAGTGGCACGATCTCAGTTCACTGCAACCTCCACCTCCTGGGTTCAAGGGATTCTCCTGCCTCGGCCTCCTGAGTAGCTGGGACTACAGGCGCACACCACCATGCCTGGCTATTTTTTATTTTATTTTGTTTTGTATTTTTAGTAGAGACAGGGGTTTTACCATGTTGGCCAGGATGATCTCCATCTCCTGACCTTGTGATTCACCCATCTCAGCCTCCCGAAGTGCTGGGATTATAGGCGTGAGCCACCATGCCCGGCCGAGACAGGGTCTTGTTCTGTGACCCAGGCTGGAGTGCAGTGGCACAATCTCAGCTCACAGTGACCTCTGCCTCCTGAGTTCAAGTGATTCTCCCACCTCAGCCTCCTGAATAGCTGGGATTACAGGCATGTGCCATCACACCTGGCTAATTTTTTATTTTTAGTAGAGACGGGTTTCACCATGTTGACCAGGCTGGTCTCGAACTCCTGACCTCAGGTGATCTGCCTGCCTCGGCCTCCCAAAATGCTGGGATTACAGGTGTGAGCCACCATGCCCAATGTTGTCAATATCAACATTATTCCCCATCACAGATGAACTCGGAAGTTAAAACAAACCCATATATGTCACTTAGGAGTTTGCAAGTTTGAATTTCTGCTTCTGGCCATGAGCAAGTAAACAACTGGAGTTTACAGTAGGATTCAACAACCTTTTCTGCAAAGGGCCAGGTAGTACATGTTTTAGACTTTGTGGTCCGTAGGCTCTCTATTGCGATGATTCAACTCTGATGTCCTGGTTGAAAAGCAGCCATAGACAAGAGTGACTCACAGGCTTGACTGTGTGCCAATAAAACTTTATATATAAGAAATCAGGCGGACTGGGTGTGGTGGCTCCCTCCTGTAATCCCAGCACTTTGGAAGGCAGAGGGAGGATCAATTGAGTCCAGGAGTTAGAGATAAGCCTGGGCAACACAGAGAATTCATCTCTACTAAAAATGTTTAAAAAGTAGCCAGGCATGGTGGTGCACACCTGTGATCCTCACTCCTCAGGGGACTGAGGCGGGGGGTATCACTTGAGCCCAGGAGGTCAAGGCTGCAGTGAGCTATGATTACGCTCAGCTGATTTTTTAGTTTTCGCAGAGATGGGGTTTCACCATGTTGCCCAGACTGGTCTCAAACTCCTGGGGCTCAAGCGATCCTCCCACCTCCCACCTAAAGTGCTGAAATTACAGGCAAGAGCTACCTCACCCGGCCAGAGGCACCGATTAGACTTTATGTCTTTGAACTTGGGAATTCTGTGCACTTTCTACCATGTTCCCTCCCCGAAAAGGACAGGGCTCCTCTCTCCTGCCTGGGTGCCTTGACTTCTCTTCTCCCCAGTGAAGTCAATGCTCCCGTCTCCATCTCTCCTCCTCTCCCAGGACCGAATCCCTTTTGCTGTGGTGGGGGCTGACCAAGAGCACCTGGTGAACGGGAGGTGTGTCCTGGGCCGGAAGACCAAGTGGGGCATCATTGAAGGTCGGTGCAGGGCCCCTGGGTAGGATGCTGGTGGGGACAGGTTGGAAGCCAGAGCAGCCCTGTGCCTTAGACATCCTTAGCACCCACCACAGGGCACAGAAAAGTGAAGCCCACTGGACAAAGAGGCCTGGGGAATGGTCCCTCTTTCCAGCTGGGAGGCCGTGGGCAAGTTTCCGGATGCTCTGGGCCTCAGTTTCCTCACAGTAAAGTGGGCATCACAGTGGCATCAACTTCCTAGGGTGCTGGAGCCGGCAGAACCACCATTTGGCACAATGCCCAATACCCAAGGCTGCCCCAGTGGCTGGCCGGAAATTACGATGGGCCTACTGTGTATCGGGCACCGCTACGTGCAGTTACCATGGTGCATGGTAAAGGGAGGACTGACAGGGTCCCTGTTTCCATAGAGCTGACGGGACAAGGACAGGTGGGAGAGGCACAGTGAAGGCGATTGTGGGGGGAGGGAGGGGAGACCGCCTTAGGGAGGGAGGGAAAGTAAGACACGAGGGCCCGCCAGGACGCAGCCCGTGATGTATTATTATAATTATTAGAAATATTCTACACTCTCTCTGTATTTATTTTTGAGACAGAGTCTTGCTCTGTCACCCAGGCTGGAGTGCAGTGGAGCGATCTTGGCTCACTGCAACTTCCGCCTCTCAGGTTCAAGCGATTCTCCTGCCTCAGCCTCCCAAGTAGCTGTGACTACAGATTATGCCATCACACCTGGCTAATTTTTGTATTTAGTAGAGACGGGGTTTCACTATGTTGTTCAGGCTGGTCTCAAACTCCTGACCTCAGGTGATCCACCCACCTCGGCCTCCCAAAGTGCTGGGATTATAGGCATGAGCCACCACACCCGGCTAGAAATATACTATACTATTACCTATGATGTAGCGTACAGGCATTCCATGCTATCTGCAGGGGGTGGTTCCAGGACCCCCAGGGACACCAAAGTCGGCAGATGCTCAAGTCCCACAGTGGGCACCGTGGATACAGAGGCCGACTGTTCATATAATACAATAATGATCTGTGGATTCATTCATTCTACAGCTACTTGTAGGAGCCGCCTGTACCAGGCACTGGGGACACAACAGTGGATGAATGAATGAATGAATGAACCAACAAAGGGAAGGCAGGATAGGATTAAGAGAAATGTGGGAAAAGGGCTAAGGGAAATGGTGTCAGGTGGTGCATATAGTAGGCGCTTACTGATTGCTCACTAAGCAGAGCCCATACTGAGTCCCATATCTTGCAGTGGAGAACATGGCGCACTGTGAATTTCCTCTCCTGAGAGACCTGCTCATCCGGTGAGGGTGTGGGGAGCCCAGGGCTAGGGGGCTGGCGAGGGGCCCTGGGGACACCACCATCGGGGCTGACCATCACCGGTCCCCCAGCTCCCACCTCCAAGACCTGAAGGACATAACCCACAATGTCCACTACGAGAACTACCGCGTCATCAGACTCAATGAAAGCCACCTGCTGCCTCGTGGGCCTGGCTGGGTGAACCTGGCCCCGGCCTCCCCGGGACAGCTGACCACCCCTCGGACCTTCAAGGTCTGCAGGGGGGCCCATGACGATTCTGATGATGAGTTCTGACCACCGGCTGATCCCGCAGCTGCTGAGCTTCCCGAGTCCCCAGCAGCTCTCAACACCCATCTGTGTACCAGAGCATCTATTACATGTGGGCCTTGCTTTTTATGAAAAGCTGTGCTTTGAAAACAAAAGGCATTTTGTAAATGACTTCTTTGAGTTATCCACAAATAAAAAGACTGGGTCTCACTCTGTTGTCCAGGTTGGAGTACAGTAGCATGATCATGACTTACTGCAGCCTCAAATTCCTGGGCTCAAGCGATCCTCCTGCCTCAGCCTCTCGAGTAGCCAAGACTACAGGCATGACACCACCTTGGTGGGCTGATTTTTACAATTTTTTTGTAGAGATAAGGCCTTGCTAGGTTGCTCAGGCTGGTCTTTGACCTCAGGCAACCCTCCCACCTCAGCCTCCCAAAACACTGGGATTACCACTGCTACCAACCAAGTTTTTGTGGTCGTTGTTGTTTCTGAGACGGAGTTGTGGTTTTTTTTTTTTTTTGAGATGGAGTTTTGCTCTTGTTGCCCAAGCTGGAGGGCAATGGCACGATCTCGGCTCTCTGCAACCTCTGCCTCCTGGGTTCAAGTCATTCTCCTGCCTCAGCCTCCCAGGTAGCTGGGGACTACAGGCATGCGCCACCATACCTGGCTAATTTTTGTATTTTTTTTTTTTTTTTTTTGGAGACGGAGTCTCGCTCTGTCGCCCAGGCTGGAGTGTAGTGGCCAGATCTCAGCTCACTGCAAGCTCCGCCTCCCGGGTTCACGCCATTCTCCTGCCTCAGCCTCCCGAGTAGCTGGGACTACAGACGCCCGCCACCTCACCCGGCTAGTTTTTTGTATTTTTTAGTAGAGACGGGGTTTCACCGTGTTAGCCAGGATGGTCTCGATCTCCTGACCTCGTGATCCGCCCGTCTCGGCCTCCCAAAGCGCTGGGATTACAGGCTTGAGCCACCGCGCCCGGCCTAATTTTTGTATTTTTAGTAGAGATGGGGTTTCACCATGCTGACCAGGCTGGTCTCGAACTGACCTCAAGTGATCCACCTGCCTTGGCCTCCCAAAGTGCTGGGATTACAGGCATGAGCCACGGCACCCAGCCTCTGAGATGGAGTTTCACTCTGTCGCACCGGCTGAAATGCAGTGACATGATCTGGGCTCACTGCAACCTCTGCTTCCCAGGTTTAAGAAATTCTCCTGCCTGGGCCTCCCAAGTAGCTGAGATTACAGGTGCCCACCACCAGGCCCAGCTAATTTTGTGTTTTTAGTGGAGACAGGATTTCACCCTGTTGGCCAGGCTAGTCTTGAATTCCTGACCTCAAGTGATCCATCTGCCTCAGCTTCCCAAAGTGCTGGGATTACAGGCAAGAGCCACAGCACCCAGCCTTCTTTTCGAAGTAATAATGTGAGACCCAAGGCCCTAGGAATCTTGAAGGCCTGGGAAGGCATGTCTTGGACAACCAGCCCCCCTCTGCCCCAGAGCCAGACCCAAGTTACAAATTTAGCTCTCCCATCTGTCCCAGCCCCTTACTCCTGGCCCAGGGCTAGGCCTACAGGCAAAGAACACTTTCCAAATCCCCATAGTTGTGGCCTGATCTGTGGCTGTCTTACCTGATCTCTGTGTTCCACCGTCCCCCACCTTCCTCATTACCCTGCCCCAGGGGCCAGCATGGCCAGCAAACAGCTCCCACTGTGGAGCCTGGCAGTGTCAGTGTGAAAATCCCAGCAGGCAAGTCAGTTACTTATGCTTCCCTTGCTTCACTTTCCTCATCTATAAAATGGGGATCGTGGTACCAAGCACATAACACAGCTGTTCAGACAAAATGAAATACTCCCTAGGATGTGCCGACCACAACCTGGAGAAATGGCAATGAAGACGGAGGCTACATGATGAAGATCGAGCAGCGGTCCAGGGTGGAGGACGTACTACAGAATGTGTGAGCTCCACGGCCCAGGGACTCTCCAGAAAGCTAGAAAATAGGCGGGGCGCGGTGCTCATGCCTGAAATCCCAGCACTTTGGGAGGCAGAGGCAGGCGGATCACCTGAAGTTAGGAGTTCGAGACCAGCCTGGCCAACATGGTGAAACCCCGTCTCTCCTACAAATACAAAAATTAGCCGGGCATGGTGGCGCACGCCTGTAATCCCAGCTACTCAGGAGGCCGAGGCAGAAGAATCGCTTGAACCTGGGAGGTAGAGGTTGCAGTGAGCCAAGATCACACCATTGCACTTCAGCCTGGGTGACAAAGCGAGACTCCATCTCAAAAAAAAAAAAAAAAAAAAGCTAGAAAATAAATGGATTTCACAGAATCCCACACCATGGGGGCCAAAGCTAAGTTAGTTTGGTAATAAAAGAAAGAGCTACCCCTATAATCTAGGAAGCTGGGTGCAAGGTGAGCCTTCAACAAATGACAACAGCGAGTAGCAGTTTTGTTCCAACTAAAAATCACCTCCTCCCTGAAGCCCTCCTTGCCTTCCCCAGGCAACCCATTCACTGCCCCCTCTGAGTGTGTGTCACCTGATTTGTTTCCTGGTCCCCCATTAGGTCGGAAACTTGGTGAGGGCAGAGATATGTCAGTTTCATCCCTGCATCCAGTGCACAGCAGGTGGTAAGAACACGGCTGCTGACTGAACAGAATGGACCCTGTATTGCCTGCCCTATAGCCATCTGCTGGTTGAATTCACAAACTGGCTTCTCCACCCACACCCCAGGCTGACTCCAGGACTGGGGAGCTTCCAGAGCCTGTGGGCATGGAAACCACCCGCTATCAACATCTGAGTTGGCGGAGACACTGGCCGGCATCACAGCACATCCCCAGGTTTAAGATTAGCCCTGGGCAATATGGAAACATCTACAGGCGTTTCAAAAGCACACACCCTGTGGCTCAGCAGTTGCATTTCTAGGAATGCATCTCACAGATAGACCAGGTTTCTCAACCTCTGCACCACCCGCACTTGTGCTACATGATGATTCTTCTTCTTCTTCTTCTTCCTCCTCCTCTTCCTCTTCCTCCTTCTTCTTCTTTTTTTTTTCTTTTTCTTTTTTTTTTTTTTTGAGACAGGGTCTTGACGACTGCCCAGGTTGGAATGCGGTGGTGCAATCATAGTTCACTGCACCCTCAACGTCTCAGGCCCAAGTGATCCTCCTACCTCAGCCTTCTGAGTAGCTGGGACTACAGGCACATGCCACCACACCCAGCAAATTTTTTTTTTTTTTTTTTTTTTTTTTTGAGACGGACAGGCACATGCCACCACACCCAGCAAATTTTTTTTTTTTTTTTTTTTTTTTTGAGACGGAGTCTCGCTCTGTCTCCCAGGCTGGAGTGCAGTGGCCGGATCTCAGCTCACTGCAAGCTCCGCCTCCCGGGTTCACGCCATTCTCCTGCCTCAGCCTCCCGAGTAGCTGGGACTACAGGCGCCGCCACCTCACCCGGCTAGTTTTTTGTATTTTTTAGTAGAGACGGGGTTTCACCGTGTCAGCCAGGATGGTCTCGATCTCCTGACCTCGTGATCCGCCCATCTCGGCCTCCCAAAGTGCTGGGATTACAGGCTTGAGCCACCGCGCCCGGCCGCAAATTTTTTTTTTTTTTGAGACAGAGTTTCAATCTTGTCACCCAGGCTGGCTGGAACGCAGTGGCACAATCTCGGCTCACTGCAACCTCTGCCTCCCGGGTTCAGGTGATTCTCCTGTCTCAGCCTCCCAAGTAGCTGGGATTATAGGCTTGTGCCACCACACTGGGCTAATTTTTGTATTTTTAGTAGAGACGGGGTTTCACCATGTTGACTAGGCTGGTCTCGAACTCCTGATCTCAGGGGATCCACCCACCTCGGCCTCCCAAAGTGCTGGGATTACAGGCGTGAGCCACCACGCCTGGCCTATTTAAGATTATTTATTAAAACATTTGCTGAGGCCGGGCGCAGTGGCTCACGCCTGTAATCCCAGCACTTTGGGAGGCCGAGGGGGGTGGATCACCTGAGGTCAGGAGTTCGAGACCAGCCTGACCAACATGGAGAAACCTCATCTCTACTAAAAATACAAAAAATTAGCTGGGTGTGGTGGCGCATGCCTATAATCCCAGCTACTGGGGAGGCTGAGGCAGGAGAATTGCTTGAGCCTGGGAGGCGGAGGTTGTGGTGAGCCGAGATCGTGCCATTGCACTCCAGCCTGGGCAACAAGAGTGAAACTCCGCCTCAAAAAAAAAAAAAAAAAAAAAAAAATTGCTAGGTTTTAATACTTCATGAATACAAATTCACAATAGTGGTTCTTGTTGTTGTTTTTAAAAAGCACATTGATGGCTGGGCGCGGTGGCTCACACCTGTAATTCCAGCACTTTGGGAGGCCAAGGAGGGTGGATCACCTGAGATCAGGAGTTCAAGACCAGTCTGGCCAACATGGTGAAGCTCCATCTCTACTGAAAATAGCAAAATTAGCTTGGTGTGGTTGTGTGTGCCTGTAGTCCCACCTACTCAGGAGGCTGAGGCAGGAGAATCGCTTGAACCCAGGAGGCGGAGGTTGCAGTGAGCCAAGATTGCGCCACTGCACTCCAGCCTGGGCAACAGAGTGAGACTGTCTCAAAAAAAATATAAATAAATAAATAAATAAATATACAATAAAAATTAAAAATAAATAAAAAGCACATTAAAACTTGCAGTTTTTGCCCCCTGAACCTTGCCCCCATCACATCCCTCTTCAACTCTTGCCCCATCACCATCCTGAATTTGGTGTTTATCCAAGTCCCAAGCATTTTTTTTCAACTGCATACATATCTCTAAATCATATGTAGAATTGTTCTGCATTTTCAAAATTTATGAAAATGGTATCATATTGCCACTTGCTTTTTTTTTTTGCTTGGCGTAGCCTCTGAGATTTATCCGTCATTCTCCTGTTGCCTAACATTTAGACTGTTTTCGGTTTTGCCATTACAAACAACACTGCCCTGAACACAGAGGCTGTCTTCATTACTAGCAAAATTAGGATATATTAAGCCTGTATGTGCCGGACATTCTGTTCTGACTCTTAATCATAATGGTGCCTATTGCAGGAGATGCTACCATCCCCATTTTACAAAGGAGTTACCCTGTCTCCCTCTTCCCCCCGAAGCTAATCAACCACCAAGCACTGTTGAATGTGCCCCAGGAATCTTGATCAGATCCTCGTCAGTGACTACCATCATCACTAGTTACCCCAACTCCGGACCAC